TGGCTCTGTATTCTGCTTCTGCTGAAGATCGAGCAACAATAGATTGTTTCTTGCTTCTCCAAGAAACAATATTACCAGCCACCAAGCTGCAATACCCAGAAGTAGATCTTCTGTCATCAATGTTTCCAGCCCAGTCAGCATCAGTATAGGCTTCAAGTTTCATATGACCATGTTTGGCAAATAGAATTCCCTTTCCTRGGGAGCCCTTCAAATAACACAGGATCCGCTCTGCTGCTACCATATGAGTGTCTCGGGGAGCATGCATGAATTGGCTGATGCAACTGACAGCATATGCAATGCCTGGCCGAGTCATGCATAGGTACGGAAGTTTCCCTAGAAGTCTCTGGAAGACTCCTTTGTCTTCTAACAATGTTCCATCTAAAGCAGAGAGTTTTTTACTCATATCAATAGGAGTAGCAACTGGTCTAGCACCCATCTTCCCTGTTTCAGAGAGCAAGTCAAGAACATACTTCCTTTGGGAGATAAAAATCCCATCCTTGGATCTAACAACTTCTATGCAAAGAAAGTATCTCAATTCCCCCAAATCTTTAATCTCAAACTCTGTATGGAGGAAAGATTTGAGATCATTAATTCCTGAAACATCATTACCAGTCACAACAATATCATCTACATACACAATTAGGTATACTGTCAGGGGTCCACTCCTCTTCACAAAGAGAGTATGATCAGACTGTGTCTGTACATAGCCAAAGTTAACAACGGCAGTTCTAAATCTCTCAAACCATGCTCTAGGGACTGTTTTAGTCCATAAAGAGATTTCTTCAGCCTGCATACCTTYCCTTTCATATCWGTTYCATACATCCCTGGAGGAAGAGACATATAAACCTCCTCATGTAATTCACCATTCAGAAATGCATTCTTTACATCCAATTGATACAGGGACCAGTCAGAGTTTGCAGCTAAAGATAAAAGAACCCTCACAGATGTCATCTTGGCAACAGGTGCAAAGGTCTCCAGATAATCAACCCCATATGTCTATGTATAGCCTTTTGCAACCAGCCTAGCCTTGTACCTCTCAATGGTGCCATCAGCCTGATATTTGATGGTAAAGACCCACTTGCAACCAACTGGATCCTTCCCTTCAGGCAGATCAACAACTTCCCAAGTGTCATTCTTGTGCAAGGCATCAATTTCGGATCGCATAGCATCCCTTCATTCTGGAATATTAAGAGCTTTTGACACAGACCTGGGAATAGGGTTAGAGGCAACAGAAAAGAGATAGGCAAAGTATGAAGGGGAAAGCAGACTATAAGAAAGGTGTTTGGAAATGCAATGTGCAGTACACTTCCGTTTTCCTTTCCTAACAGCAATGGGAATATCAAGGTCAAGGAAAGATGGCTCCAAAGGGGCTGAAACAGTACTTGTTGTCTCATCTGTAACTGGAAGTGCATGAGGCTCATTTGTTGTAAGGGAAACAACCTGCTCATTTCTGGATCTTTGCCTCTGATACACCCTGGGATTAAAGAGAGGACGAGGAGGTAAAGGGGGGATGAACACTGGGATAGGGAGAGTGGAAAGATTGATCCTCCTTTGATTCATGTGAGGAAGAAGGAGGCTCAGTAGGAGATTCAACAGGTACAGGAAGAGGAAGATCAAAAACCTGTGACAAATCCTCCCCCTTTTGACAATGCCCATCCCTAGAGGGACCATAAAAGGGAGAAAGCTCATCAAAGGTGACATCCATTGTGTCATATCGAGTGCCAGTCTTTGGATCAAAGCAACAGTAACCCTTCTGTGTAGGGGAATAGCCAAGAATTTGGTTCAAATTTATGTCTTTGGACACTAGGAATATGTACATAGCAAGTGCAGCCAAATACACAAAGAGGAATAGACAAAAGGTCCTTGTCCGGATGAAGGAGACTAAAAGGAGACTGAAAGAATAAACAGCCTATGGGCCATTCGGCCCATCTTCTCTACACTCCCCCTCAAGCTGAGCATAGATGTCAATCATGCCAAGCTTGCCAGTATCATGCTGAAGTTTTGCCTTGGGAA